CACCTGCTGCATCTCACCTTCTGCATCTCACCTACTCCATCTCACCTGCTGCATCTCACCTGCTGCATCTCACCTGCTGCATCTCACCTTCTGCATCTCGCCTACTCCATCTCGCCTGCTGCATCTCACCTGCTGCATCTCACCTACTGCATCTCACTTACTGCTTCTCACCTGCTGCATCTCACCTACTGCTTCTCACCTGCTGCATCTCACCTATTCCATCTCACCTACTGCATCTCACCTGCTGCATCTCACCAGCTGCATCACACCTACTGCATCTCACCTGCTGCTTCTCACCTGCTGCATCTCACCTACTGATTCTCACCTGCTGCATCTCACCTGCTGCATCTCACCTACTCCATCTCACCTGCTGCATCTCACCTACTGCATCTCACCTGCTGCTTCTCACCTGCTGCATCTCACCTACTGATTCTCACCTGCTGCATCTCACCTGCTGCATCTCACCTACTCCATCTCACCTGCTGCATCTCACCTGCTGCATCTCACCTGCTGCATCTCACCTTCTCCATCTCACCTATTCCATCTCACCTGCTGCATCTCACCTGCTGCATCTCACCTACTACATCTCACCTGCTGCATCTCACCAGCTGCATCTCACCTTCTGCATCTCACCTGCTGCATCTCACGTGCTGCATCTCACCTGCTGCATCTCACCTGCTGCATCTCACCTGCTGCATCTCACCTTCTCCATCTCACCTATTCCATCTCACCTGCTGCATCTCACCTGCTGCATCTCACCTACTACATCTCACCTGCTGCATCTCACCAGCTGCATCTCACCTGCTGCATCTCACCTGCTGCATCTCACCTGCTGCATCTCACGTGCTGCATCTCACCTTCTCCATCTCACCTATTCCATCTCACCTGCTGCATCTCACCTGCTGCATCTCACCTGTAGCCTAATAAATCCAAAGAGACCATGATCCTTTTCTGGGTTATTCAATAAGGAATTCACAATTAGAATCAATAAATATAAATGCAGATTTTACAAGCATTTTGCCTGTAGAAATGATCCAGTGCCTCTGAGCAGGACATATAGAATATAATTATTCATGTGTAGTGTTAAACCGGTAACAGTTACAGAGAGGATCATGCTGCTCTGCTCTGATATCTGTGAGACTTATTAGTACCAACACAGTGCACAAAGCCATGTTAAATGCCAACTAAGAAATGTAACAACACGTGACCTGGTTTAGTCCCTTTCCTATGTGTGTGATGCTTGTTTGTTTGTTTAGACTATGCTGTATTTCTATTTAAATTGTAACTGGTGTGCTGTCTTCTCTCAATTAAGAGACTTAAGAAGCAGCCATAAACTGATATCAAGACAACAAGATTTCTTGCAACAGGTTCCATTTATTGTGAAATGTGACCAGTAGATATGTGTAATTGGTTTGCAAAATGAGGATAACCAGGATTTCTGTTTTGTTGGAATTTAGCTGACCAGCTCATTACTATCAAATACTGACCAATACTAGCAATCTTTAGTTGATAGTTAAAGTAATGAGTTTATGATCTGATACAAACCTGTCCTTGATTTCCAGGAATCTGTATAAGCCGTATGCAGGTGTTTTCGCATTTATTGCACGATCTCTGCATGAAAACGGATGTGTTACGGATTATGCTCGCTCATGAGTTCAAGTGAGCACGCGTACGAGCACACGCCTTGTTGGTCTTAAAACCTCACCGCTAGTGGCTGCTGACAAACTACATATGTTTGTATCATATTAGTGTTCCTTGTTGCTGTGACGACAGTCATTACAGTCGTTAAGACTACCTGTGGCCAAGACTGAACGACCATCGTTGGTATCTTCACCTGAGGTCAATAGGTTATGTTTGTTGAGTTTCCTGGGAAGTGATGAAAGGACAACAAACGTAACCTATTGACCTCAGGTGAAGATACCACTAATGAACCAGCGGTATCGATGACCCTGGCCAACGACCCCACTGAGGTTAAATAGCTGAGTTTCCCTGCCAGTCAGTCAGAACTGAAGAAGTCCTTTGGATGAGGGACGAAACGTCTTCCAGTATCTTCAACCAAATCCACTTGCCCTTGATTTTAATCTTCGTTGGATAACTATGGACTACAGTTGAAAATTAGCCTGCTGGCTAACACTGGCACATTTTACAGAAATGTTGATTAATGTGCACTGTCCTTAAATAAATAAATGAAATGAAACTATGACCTGGATGACTGAGAATCTTCATAGACATCTTTGTTGGGAGTTGCACATGCTCAGTTCCTAGTTAAGGACTACTAGCCAATCAGAAGCAGAGAAGGGCGGGTCAATGAGAACCCAGTAAACAGCTTTAGTTCAGCTGTACATGTTGCAGACCAGCTTGGCAACATGGACTGGAGCGAGAGTTTCAGAGTGGTGAGTTATTAATCTGTAACAAAAGGATCTTTCATCCATAAAGTTTTAACTGAGCTCTGTCTCTACATCACAGGAACAACTTTATGTCCACTGACTGCCTGGAGGGTAGCTAGTGTTTGGAAGGGAGGAGAGGAGAGCTGTGTGCTGCAGCTCACGGTTTTTCCACCGCTGTTTTTGAGGGCGTGTCGGACTTCGGGCTTTTTCACTTTGCAAACCTATTACATGCACAAAAAAGGTATTTAAGTCACTACAGGAGAGGGAAAAAAGCCAAAAAGCAGAATACCGCCTCTTTAAATGTTTCAGCAGCCAAACTCACAATTTTAGCATGTATAGATGAACAGCCAAGTCAATAATCATGGTCCATAATGTTTGATCAGTCTCCGCATCATAGTCTAAATAGGTAGACCAAACCTAACCTGCAGGGTGCAGCAATTAATTATTATTATTATTATTATAATTGGACTGTGGTGTATTATTGTTCGGACACCACAGGACAAACATTCCTGATACTTTTACAGTCAGCCCCAGGACTACATGCTTGCAGCTATTAATGATTCAGCTGTAAGAATCACAGTCTGTGATACACTAAGGCTATAGTAATATAATTCTACAAGAGCAATGTCAACATCTAATGAGAATTCATAATATTTTTAGTTCTACCTGGCCTTTACTCTGCAGTGCATTACTATTGCTCCGCAGTTTGTGACGTTATCCCCTTTAGACCGACTTGGGAATGCATGCTGCATGTGAAACCGAAACCAACCGAAAACTGATCAGGCAGAAATCTCACCACAAATCCACACACACGTTAACTTCAGCAGCTCCGATAAAGTGCAGCTCACAGAGCAAGACTCCACTTCAGTTTTTAGATGTTTATATTGCAGAACTCTACCAGTTATGTTACTGTCCGGACTCAAAGCCTCGCGGTGCACATGATGCCTGGTGTCACATCAGCTGGGCGGCTTTAACAAGACGATGGCTCCCCAGATGGATTATGGGTAAATAGATTTCTATAGGCTGTGTTTGTGCTTCAGTGAATAACTTTCATGATTAAAGAGGCTGCTGTTGTGATTTTTAATGAGGACTCTGCTCGAGTTCTGTCAGTTTTCAGACTTTCAATGACAGCCAAACTGGGGACAGTACTTTTCATCGGTTGTGTACGTTGCAGCTCCTCGCACATGCCCATGTTCTCTCCATAGATTACACACAGGTCTCTGATCCCTGCGCAGCTTTAACTGGTCTGTTATTTACAGGACTCCCTGCATTACAGCTGTCAGTTCATCCTGACCGATACTGTCTGAGTGTCGGCTGATTCAAATAATATCTGCTGTACCTCGTGCGTAAATGGGAGACGATTCATCCTATTTCAACCTTCCCCCCTCTCCCCCGCTATTATTATTCAGAATGTTAATTCGGGGTTGATATGCAACAAATATTTTTTCTAACACAACCCTGAAGATAAAATCTGCAGATCATGTAAACCTCCTGATCCAAACTCAGAGGGCAGAGGGGCATCGAGTACAGGAGACAGGCAGGATGTCCTAAACCAAAGAGCATTAACATTAAACATTAAGTTACTGAAACAGCTGGACGATGTTCTGTGGCTGCAGTAACGACCTCACATCAGCACGTACAGATATTTGTTCTTCTTTTCTTCTTTGATTAAATAAAAGTTAAATGTAACAAATGTTGAGGAATGATGATAGAAGGTGAAAGACAGCAGTTTGTGATTTGATATGATTGTGGGTAAACTATAGGGACACTGTGTTTGTGTGAACTTCACCTCACAGCTTTAGTGATGTCACTGAACAATGTTAGGTAGATATTAAAAACCTGCTCCCTTTAATAACCTGATCTCTCAAACAGGTTTCACTCTGAAGAATGGAAGGTCTCTACGTTAACAGCAGCTCACAGAACCAAAGCTTTAACCACAGCAACATCACCTATGGCTACAATGGTTACATCAACAGCGACTATGAGTATTACATGACAGTTTTTTTCATCATGAATGTGGTGACATACATATTCATTGCCACCAGCCTCCTGTTGACCCTGGTGGCCATCTATTCTCTTTATTCTATGGTATGTACATTCTGACAGAGTTATTTATTTCCTGTCTGTGTCGTGTGTCTGTCCTACAGTCTGTCTGTCTGTAAAGGATCTGGTTTGGGGGCAAATGTATTATTATTATAATAACATTAAAATGTTAAAATGGTGCACTGGATATTTTCTCTTTTTCGGACCTTTCTCTGTAAACCCTAGAGATGGTTGAGTGTGAAAATCCCAGTAGATCAGCAGATTCTGAAATACTCAGACCCTCAGTTGTCTTGACCACGTCTACAAGCCTAAATACACTGAGCTGCTGCCATGTGTGCAGGTGTACCTAATAAAGTGGCCTGTGTGTGTATACTGTACATACTGTATGCAACAGTAACAGCCCACACATCAAAACCAGACTTCATCATGCAGATAAAATACACTAATGAAATGCTTGCTCATTTAAAAACATTCATCTAAAAGAAAATAATATCTGCTTTGCTTCTGGGATTAAAGGAGAATAATGACAGACATCAACTTCCAGCTCCAAACTAATAAAACACATTTATTTCCATGTGTTGAAGCCATCACAGTGAACCAGAGCAAGTTGACCAAAACATTTCCCAGCAGCCACTTCTCCCACAGCAGAGTCCAAACAGTGCTTCCTGTTCTCTACAGTTAGGTGTCTTATTGGAAATGGTCTCAGTAAATGACAGGATCTGTCTCGTCTCTATCCTTTCTATTGGCCTCCATTTCTCCTCCTGTTTCCTCCCCTTTCTCTCTCTCCCTCTTTCTCTGCCTACATGAAGCTGACTGTGGAAATGTTGTCATCATTCATACTGATGAACTGCTGATATCATTGCTGTCCATTCTGCAGCAACACACAGGGGCCAAAAGCTTGTCTATGGTCCCTTTCCTCATGAACACATACAGGAACAAGTCTGCAAGAGGACTGAACCTACAATCATAAGACACAGAATTAAATTGGTCCTGTCATGAATTAAACTCAGGTACCAAAGGATGCTGGACAGGAACAGCAGGGTGTAAATAAGCAGCAACAGAACCAAAACTCCCACAGTTCGACGTTTTTCATCAGGGGAACTGAGGTAGAAGCAGACAGGGCTTTGAGGGTCCCAACCAGGAAGAAGATTAACAGCGGGAAGGGAAGGAGCTGGAGGATGATGAACATTATGTGTGTCACCAGATTTTCAACAAAGAAATAGAAACGGACGCCACAGACACCAGAAAGGACCCGACCAGGACACAGACCAGGACAGAGGTCTTGATGGTTCGTCCGAAGCGGTACCACAGCGGGTGGACGATGACCAAATACCGTAATACAAGATGGACACAAAGTCTTTGAGGAGCTTCAGAGTTATAAACTAATATAATGTTCAGACAAGAAGGAGCTCCACACATACTGGATAGACAGATAGATACCTTTCCAGGGCGATGCAGACCATGAAGTAAACACTGGCAAACAGAGCAGAGATGTAAATATATACGAAGATCTCATGTGTCCACCTATCCACAGTTGGTACCACATCAGCAATCATGAAGCAGAGCTGAATCAAGTCACTAATGAGAAGGTTGATGAGGTAGATGGGAGCAACATGATCTCTTCTCACCTGCAGGAAAACATTGGTAAAAGTCAACAAGCAGTTGGAAACATGTTGTGAAGTCCACCTCCTCCCAAATCTGTCATCTTGCTCTGCCCAGCAGCTGCAGTCAGAGCCATTTCTGACTTTTTCATCCAACAGAAATCTCAGATATGACCCACTGGCCAATCACTGCAGTAACAAGACTAAGGGCCAGATTTCCTGCAGATTCTGCAGCAGTTTTTCAGCAACAGATATGAAGCATTCGTCTCAAACACATGAGCTGGATTTATCCAGACTGGAGTCGCAGTTTGAGGCTCATGTTTGTGTTTGCAAGGTGAGAATCTCTCCTCATTGTAAACGTATTATATTGAGGATCGCACAAATAAGAAGAGGAGCCATGTTAACAGAAGGTGGGAGTGAGCTGGGAAAGTTTCCTGAACAGATGATCAGAATTAGTTCAATCAACTCAAGTATGTTGAACCTGATGGAAGCGCCTGCGTGGGATGAAAAAAAATCATCTATTGAGCTCTGATACTACGTGGGTAAATAACGAGCAGAGCCCCCATTTTAATCCAGTGGTGCTGTAGAAACATGAATGGGTGCCAACGTGGACCATGACAAAGTCTTTAAAAACAGGAGTGGAGGAAGGATCAATACGTTGTGTCACATTTTATACAGCGTTGCTCATTCATCATTTAGCAGACTGGAATTTCATCAATAAATGATAAAGTGCTGAAATTCTCCTGTAGCCTATTAGGCTACTTCAGACTCTCAGCAGCTAATAATGAAAAACTCACTTATAAAGTACATGAATAGTTTCAGCTGCACCGCAGTCATCCTCAGAAATAGTCACATTATCTCCAGCATGATAACTAGATAGGAATGCAATCCATCAAATAGTTTTCAAAAAACAAATACAAAATTAATGCCTCCAGATTTCACAATTTCCTCTCAAATACTGCTGCACAAACTGCTCTGACTATTTGATGTTTGTCTTGAGCTGTAACTAAATGGTGCCATTAACCTCAACAGTTTAAGAGAAGGCTGGATGGAGCCACACATGGAAACTGCATCTGTTTAGGGTCCAATCAGCTTCATGGACATTTTAATTATGGAGTCAATTATTCCTGTAAGCCCCCAGGGGACCTAGCCCCCAAACCAGATCCAGATCCTTTACAGACAGACAGACTGTAGGACAGACACACGACACAGACAGGAAATAAATAACTCTCAGTCAGAATGTACATACCATAGAATAAAGAGAATAGATGGCCAGAAGCGTCAGATGAAGGCCGACAGCGACGATTACGTATGTCACCACATTCGGGATGAAATCAGGGTTAGAGTAGAGACCTTCCATTCTTCAGAGTGAAACCTGTTTGAGAGATCAGGTTATTAAAGGGAGCAGGTTTTTAATATCTACCTAACATTGTTCAGTGACATCACTAAAGCTGTGAGGTGAAGTTCACACAAACACAGTGTACCTATAGTTTACCCACAATCATATCAAATCACAAACTGCTGTCTTTCAGTTTTATATTCCTGCACAGTCCATCTTCATGACTGTTTAAAGTTCTTATCATCTCTACATATAAAAGTAATGTCACACAATTTACCTTTGAAAGCTCTGATACCCCAATTGAAAGAGTTCCCTACTGCAAAGTCTGATGTGTTGTCCTCTGCAGCTAAACAGTCTGTAGTAAATATAGTAAGTGATAACATGCAGTAGGTTCCTGTTAATCTGCACTTCCTCTTCTGAAGACATGAGAAAGGCACAAATATGCTTTATCCTGTTCTGTGGTCCTGAGATGGCTGCCTGTCGTCACCTCAGCTGAAAGTTTAGATGAGCTGCTTTGAGTATCAAACTCTTCCTGTAGGCTTGAAATGAAAGATGGACTCTGCTCGTCTTCAAAACCATTGAATGGTTTCCAAAGTGAACTGCTTTCCCAGCACGGCAGCAAAATCCACTCTCTGTTAGTCGTGCTTAGTGTGTTTCAAAATCTGTGAATCACATTCTTCTAAAAAAGCTGGTACTATTTTTTACATGCCAACATCATATTTAGGGAATGAGAGAAGAACAAATTAAACTCAGTGTAATTGGTCTGACCCAGTATGTACTGTACAGCTACCATCCAAGTTCTCTGATTGTTTTAATGATAGTGTTGGACCTCTTGCCTTATGATTCAAATTTCAGTTCAATTCTATTTATATAGCCCCACTTCAAAACAAAAGTTGTCTGATTGAATTTTTCATGTGGAGCGGGTCTAGGCCGTCCTCTCTGTAATATTATTAACACTTCCCACCATGAGCAAACACCTGCTGACAGATGAACTAGCACATGAGGAAGAAAGTGATATTGATTCTGTTCATAAATATTCTGTTTCTGATAACGCTTTACTAATTAATGATACTAAATGAGCCACGCTTAAGGCAAAGAAACCTCGAGCTGAACTGTGACTCAGGATCAACGGCCATCTGCCTCAACATGTTACAGACAAATACAGTCTGACTTTCTGGGTTTCTCATTTGTTCCCCTTTAATGTTTCTCTACAGTGAATATAGTAAGTAAAAAGATGCAGCATGTTCCTGTTAATCTGCACTTCCTCTTCTGAAGACGTGAGAAAGGCACAATATGCATTATTCTGTTCTGTGGTCCTGAGATGGCTGCCTGTCGTCACCGCAGCTGTAAGTTTAGATTAGCTGCTTTGAGTCTCAAACTCTTCCTGTAGGCTTGAAATGAAAGATGGACTCTGCTTGTCTTAAAATAATGACATGGTTTCCAACGTGAACTGCTTTACCAGCACGGCAGCAAAATCCACTCTCTGTTACACTTGTGTGTTTCAAAATCTGTGAATCACAGTTTTCTAAAAAGCTCCACAGCTGATCCCAATCACCTCCTCCACTCAGACGCTCCTGTTCTCCTGCCATTCGTCACCTGATGGTTTCGTTTACTCTCTCTGCCCAGAAAACTGGTTTGTCTTTTGTATTCTCCAGTACTCTCTCACTGTATCGCTCACGTGCCTTTTTTGTCTCCTCGGCTCCTGTTCCATATTCTGCACCCCAGACTCCTCAGACCACCTCAGACCACTACTCCTCTTCAGTCAGCGAGCCAGCCTCCCACCATCGTCAGCCACGCTCCCCTTTCCTCTCCAGCCTCGTTGTGTTGCTCATTAAAATACCTTGTTCTCAACAAACTTCAGAGTGTGTGTCTGCTCCTGGGTCCTCTGAAACACAAACTTAACCGTCTGCCCATCTACACCGCTACACAGGTACGTTGTGTTTGCTAACAGGCTGGACTCAAACGCAGGACTTGTTGTACCGTAAGTCTTTGCTGCAAACCAGGTGGGGAGAATGAATGTGGTGGCAGGGGAATCCAGAGGAGGCGGAGAGAGAGTGGAGGTGATGGATCTATGTGGCTCAAGGAGCAAGCGAGCCTGGCAGGAAGCATACAGGAGGCAGACGGGCATGTGATGATCCTGCAGCACCAGAGACAGATGTTAGCAGACAGGTAAAGCACAGACAAGGCACAACAAGCAAAATCCACCAGAGAGCAAACTGCTGACTGAGAGAATCACTAAGGCTGAAAACACATCTGGTGAAGAGTGGATGGAAAACTGCAGTTGATGTACTGCAGGTGAGCAAACTAATGAGAGGCAGGTGAGTGAGGTGAGCAGGACGATTGGTGGATTGTGAACAGGTGTGTGGAGCCAGCAGCCAGGAGACGTGGAGGAAGGAAAGTCACGCCGACAGACACACAGATAACAAACAGGGGAGACAAAACTCTGAACGTGGACAGACTCGACCCAGCATCAAAGTTTATTCATCTAAAGGAGGAGGGCAATAAATCTGCTGAACATTATGTGCAAGAATGTGAATCTCTCCTCTGTAGCCAAACAGTACATGCAGATGTTCTGTGGGGGTTGTGAGATGCAGGACTTCCTGGTGACAGAGTGCAAAATGAATGTAGTGAATGAAAGAACAATATGGCGCCCTCTTGAGTCACGTAGGTCTGAAGAGACACGTCGCACGTAAGGCAGGACCCTGCTTGACCTCATGTTTGCAGACTGATGAAACTTTCTCCATTGCTGTAAATGAAAATGTTTCTGTTCAGCCGAGCTTCAGGACCTCGTCCTAAGTGAGCTTTAAGAGTAACTACACCTTCAAGGGAGGGGCCATAGAACAGTGAAATCCAAGCAGACACATTCAAGCTTTTTTTAAGCAGCTGCTGTTTTTAACACAATATGACTTTCCTATGAATAAAAACACCTGTATTATCATGTGCCAACTAGACGCTTTGTCAGTGTGTAGCTCCTCCAGGGGGTGGGGGCATTGACCTCTTGTTGTCAGCAATTCAGGTTTATACATTCATTCAGTCCAGTCCTCTAGCAGACCTGGTTCTGTATGTTTTCATTAGGGAAGGGGACGTAGACGAGTTGACGAGCAGTGATTTTAAAAGTGTGTGGGGCTGTAAGGGAGGGACGTGAGGCCTTTGGCCCTCGTTTCAGTCTCCACAGTCTCTGCCATACTGCTCAGTGTGAATGCCCTCAAAACAGCAAGTGTAAGAAGAGAAGAGATAAGATGAAGTAAGAAGTACGAGAAATAAAAACACTAATTGAGACACAGTCAAGGAAACTAAACTAAAACTCTAACAATAGATCAGAAAATCTCTCTTCTATGTTTATACTGGTATTTGTGTGAAAGAGAGGGTGTCACACAGCCATGGATGCTTCTTTAGCTAGTTAAGCTTTGTTTGGCCCACTAATCAGCAACGCAGTAGTTTGCAGGACTGTGATGATCAGAGAAAATGAAAAGTTGTTGGTTTTATCCGTGCCGTAATTCATAGTATGTCTGAGTCGATGAATTACTTAGACTGAGTATGAAGCTAATTTACTGTAGTGAAACTCTGCAGGTGTTGACCTCATTAATAAACACAACGGGCCGTACTCTCTTCTAAACGTGACTCCAACACATTTCTCAGTCAGGAAGATGAGAATGTCCTGAAACGTGTTCATTTACTACAGTCTGATGAACAGCGGATCAACCATCGAGTGTACTAAAAAGGAAAACATACAGTTCAAGTGTGAAAGCTCTGAGATGAAAGCCTCAAAGTGCTGCAGAGTTTACTAATCTGTCAGTTAACAGATGTGTCAGTGATCCCCTGCGGCAGCTTCCTGTTTTACTGTCTGCTTCTCAGACTTTTTACAGACAAAACAAGTTTCCTCATTCATAAGTCACTTTAGACAAAAGTGTCAATGAATAAATGTGACTGTAAAATATAAGAGATACGTAGAGATACGAGATAGATTCGTGTTGAACTGGATCAGATACAAGTCTTCTCTACTCCTCAGGCCAACTGGACAATATTTTATACAGTGTGAAATTACTGAAGCTGGTTTATAAGAGGTGTTCCAGGCACGTCCAGCTGGGAGGCGGCCTCGGGGAAGACCCAGGACTAGGTGGAGAGATTATATCTTCAGCCTCGGGACCCTCCAGTCAGAGCTGGTTAATGTGGCTCGGGAAAGAGAAGTTTGGGGTCCCCTGCTGGAGCTGCTGCCCCTGTGACCCGACCTACTCTCAAGTCCCTTTGAACAAACATATGCTAGTTTTCCATTATTGAGCACAGCCCTGAGAAGTGCAGTTAAAACCTTTTCAATATGTGGCAGTTTCACACTGCTTTGCTTATCAGCCAATATTAAAGCCAGATTTCTTGCTTTTATAAATGTTAATAAGTTGTTGGATTGAGAGTGTGGTCATTGCCACAAACACTAATATTTATTTTTCAAAATATTATTGCAGGGGGAATAATATAGATTAAATAAACAATACATAGTTTCTAGATGTTTACTGAGCACTGGGATTAAAACTACAGCATGAAATCAGTGAGGTGTTTTAGTGTTTGGACTGCTGCTATATTTTCTCTAAACCACTAGATGTCACTGAGAGTTCAAGCTTCAAATCTTTTCTTAGCCCAAACCAGAGGAAAGCCCAAAAGCTGGATAAAACTCTGTCCAGCTCACATTAGTTCTGTTGTCTGGGTCACTGAGTCTGCTTTAGCTATTTACAATTAAAGAATACATTTAGAAATGTTATTCTACCTTTCTTTATCTGTAACATTGCATTCATTCGGCAGATAATTTTCTCCAAAACCTACAGCAAGTGCGTTTAAACTCAGCAGCCACACTTTGGCCTTCTTGGACTGTGCCGTCCACACTGAAGAGGACAGGATCCTCCACACTGGAGTATACAGGAAACCCCCACACACAGATCAATACTTACTCTCTGACTCTAACCCCCTCTGGAGCATAAGCATGAGAACCCTGAACCACCAACAAGTGCCTAAGCCCCTGACAAGAAGTAGGAGAAGACATCCTTTATTAATCCTGCAAGGGGAAACTCAGTGTTGTTTCTGTTATTCTTGTTGTAAAGTGGAACACACAGTCTGAAATACACACACAGGCAACAACACCGGAGAGATGTCAGAGCCAGGGGCTGTCACCTAGTAGGGCGCCCCGAGCAGTTGGGAGTTCAGGGGCTTGCCCAAGGCCACCTTCAGCAGTGGGCAGAAGGGGGTATTTGTTAACCTATCCTATTCAGGAGCAGTGGGCTGCCATCCTACGGCCCCAGGGAGCAGTTCAGGGTTCAGGGCCCTGCTCAGGGGGCACCTTTGGCATTGGTTCGTGCTGGACTCGATCTGGCGAACCACCGCTTTGGATGGATGGACCCCAACATTGTCTTAAATCCAGTGACATAGTTTGAAATACTGGGGTCCCACAGGGCTGTGGCTTGTAACCATCTTCTTCTCCATATAACAAGCACATCACCGGCAACGGACTGACACATTTTAAGTCGTGTAGTTAAGTAGTAGAAGTAGTAGTTAAGTGTGGCCTTGGAGACCTCCCTGGAACTGAACATCAGTAAGACGAATAGCTGTGTTGCGGGTGGTGCTGGGCACCTGATACCTCAAACCCTCTCTGAACCACTCAGGATGGAGGGGCAGGTGGTGGAACAGGTCGAGGGCTATAAATACACTGGACACTGAGATCAACCACCACCTGTCCTTCACACAGCAGATGGGGTCAACAGAAAGGCCCATTAACGCATGTTCCTCCTGAGAAGGCTGAAAGGTTTTAATGTCAGACAGGAGATTTTAACAACAGTATACTGGTCACTTATTGAATCAGTTTTCAAATCCAACATTGCATCCTGGTACAACTTCCTCACAGAGAAGCAAGAAAACTCACTAAATCACTAAACATGCAACACAAATCACGGGCACCACTCTAATTTAACTTTCAGACCTTTACAGCCACAGAATTAAAAGAAGAGCAGACTCCATCAGGATCCTTCAACACTCTTTCAGCTGCTCAGGTCATTAGTGACCTTTTAGTTTCGTGTCCTGCAACAACTTCACAGTGGGAAT